GCCTGACAAGTCTATCCTATCGTAAGGCGAGGTCCAGCCCCGGGTTAGCGACAGACTCGCCGGTAGTGATAACAATAGATTGATTACTTATAGGGGGACTCTTCAAGAGAACAATATTTGCTCTATTATGCAAAGATCATTAATGATGTTTATGAGTTGACAAGCATTACCATACTACTTTGGCCTGCACAAAACTCTAATTTTAACCTACTTGAGAACCTTTGGAACAAGATTAATAGGAAGATATGTAACTTACATAACCAGCCAAAAAATATTGATGATTTAGAACACAAAGTAAAAACCATGTAGTATTCAATTTTACTTGATTATACCCATAAATTAATTGAAAGTATGTCCTGCCAAATTCAGGCATGTATCAAGGCCCAAGATGGCATAACAAAGTATTGATATTTTAAATAAATAAAGAAATAGAGAAGAAAAAAGTTTTTTTTAAAAAAACTTTTTATATACTGTATATATAAAAAATCATTCATGAATTAATTACTATTCAATTGTTCTGATATCTATATTTACTCTCTGTATTATATTAATTAGATTGGGTTCAGTATCATCAAAAACCTGATGTTATTGTATCATTGAATCCATATATGTCAAAAATTTCATATAATTCTTGGCATACTGCACCCAATAATACAAATTGTGCAAAAGCAGCACATGTTATGAGTAATCATAAAGGAAAACAACTAAAATATATGAAAATTATTATAGGAGTTTTTATTTATTGGTTTTTTATAAATTTGTTTAATAATTTTTTGCTTTATTTAATTTAATGAATTTAATTAGAAGGCAAAGATTAGATATGCGCAATTTTAAAAGAATTGAAATAAAATGAATTTTAATATAAATTTATATAATCATGAAAAAAGTGAAATTGCACATTAAAAATTAGCAATTAAACAATGTGGTTAGTGTATTTTTATTAAATAATAATTTTTATAAGAATTTATTTATTTAGTATTAATTATAAATGTATTTAACAGTTAAACAATCTTCTAAAACTGCTAATCCAAAGAAATGCCAACAAGTAATAAAAAACTATGCAAGTTACCAGAAGCTGATTTAACAATATAGAAAAAGAAAACACTCATGAATTGTTGATGTTAATGAAAAAATTGGAGTACGAAGAACATATGCTGATAATTGCAGAATGAAAAGAAAATTAAGAGAATTACAAATAGCTAATACTATTAAGGAATGTGAATTAGGTCTTAAATAAAAAATATTAATATGTATTAGAAATTTTTAATTAATTTTTAATGTAAAAAAGATATTTCTTTTAATATAATCATAAAAAAATATTAAAATTATATAAAAATTTCTTTTAAGAATATCCGCATATATTATTTTTAAATATAAAGTATACTACGTATAAAATTATATAATATACAAAGTATTATAATAATAATATATTTTATTATATCATACGCTTTTCTATTTTTACTATTTCAAATCTCGAATCGTATTGCTAAAAGAGAATTTATCGCAGAGTACTTAAAATTTATGATTGAAAAAAAGAAGATTTGATGCCTGTACGGAAATATTTGCAGATTTAAATGCGGAGAATGACATTGGATCGCTTTGTAAATTTATAGAGGGAGCTTTACTTAAGCCATTGATGGATAACAATGTTAACCATTCAAACAAGGAGGTACAGTATTGAAACAAGATTTATCGATACTTTAATTCTCACACTCCACGTAGAAATTGAAACAGAATTTCAGGTGTATTTATAAAGCTCTAATTTTGGTGGAAAATCAATTGTTTTAGTGAGAACAAAGATCGGAAAAAGGATAACGATCGAACTGGATAATATTAAAATGAAAAACATTAAATTGGACAAAACTCAAGATAATTGGCAGTGAGTCTAAAGTTTACGGTTGTTATTGGAAAAATCAGAGGAAATTCTAAAACTAAAAATTAATGATCCATTCCGAAAAAATATAAGACTGTTGAGGTGGTTTTGGAGTGGATAATAACAATGAAAAGCAAAGAACTCCGAGCCATTGCAAAATCAACAAGATGAAGATTTAAGATGTTAGTTATTTTGAGAGTTGGCTTGCACCGTCTAATTAGAAAAAAAGTTTATTATGTTAACGAATAACGTGTAGAGTTTAAAACAGGATTGCCTCTTAGATTAATCACTTTAAATAAGGTTTCGAACATCCTCATCTGGGATTTTGAATTAGCCTCTCTTTTACAAGATTTTTAATAAAATAAAGACTATTGTCAGAGGGTAAAATGTCGACGCAATGCCAGTCACGCGACTAATCACCGCGATACTGTAGTGCCTCGAAGAACCATATCATAGTACTTGAGGTAGTGTAATAAAAGAATGCAAGCAAAAAGTGATGGAAAATGGATAAAATAGTAGTAGAAAAGCGTGTTAGAAAGTTAGGTAATGAGAGAAAAATAATGAAAAACTATTAAGTGATATAAATCTTTGTGATCGAGCATTATGTAAAAAGAGAAAATAGATGGGGACATTAGATAATCGATGTTGCATTTTTTTAGAATATAAAGTCATCTCAACTAAAATGTATAAAAATATGTAAGCAAAAGTAAATAATGGACAGTGAATTATATTTCCAAAAACATTATCCGGTAGAAACCATGCAAGTCCCAAAATTCTTCTTTTAACGTTAAATCTTTCGAAATGTTGAAGCTCGAGGTGAATTTGGCCATAATGACAGGAGTCATATCAGTTTGAAAAAAACGTGTCATGCTTTATCGCAAACAAACTTCAAACGACTGTAGAATTGTTTACACAAATTCTCTATTTTTTCGATTTTACTTTGAACCGAGGAACGATGATGTGTGGCAAGAGGTTGTAAGATGGTTTCGTCTTTAAGGGCCTCGTTCATACCAGCATCATATTTATTGATGAAAACAGAGCTAACGGCGCAAAATAATATTGGGTTTATACTTTATTTAATAGAGATGATAACTGAACAAGAAAAAATATTTTGTGACTACTCCATTTTACAGCATTTAGCAGCATTTTGAAATTTAATTTGTTCAAAAACTTGACAATGGCGTCCCAACTCTTGTTGACATTGATTAATGATGTCTGATATACTCACATTCAAAATTGTGAGAAAGTTCGGATTGAAGACATCGAATGTTAAATATATACGAAGTCCAGCAAACTTAAGATTTAAAGCGAGAAATGAGGATATATATATTGAAGAGTTTTTACCAATATATAAATATCCGAAAAGGTGTTTGAATCGTTCTCTGTTTTTTATGTTATAATAAGAAAATAAGTAGAGAGAAATAGTGTTTTTCTGAAACGACGAGTATTGCATAAACATTAAATCCTCTATTTTAGAGATAAAGATCGTCAAATCCGAATAAAAACCACCTGCTTTTCTTAAGTCAACAAATGACCTTACTGAAAATATTTTAAGAGTTTTTGAAGATGATTCATCTGATAGGAACTGAGGAGAGAGTGAAAAGTGAAAAGAAGGGTGAGATCAAACGAGCCTTCTTAGAAATGCCATTACACATAATACTTTACTGTAAGGATGAGAAAATGATCAAGTGTGAACATATGTTCACATAAATTAGCTAGCCCAAAGAGTGAATATATAAATTCATGATAATAGTGTTGCTCTACAATCAACTATGTTCCTTCGCTTTTAAAACTTTGACTATTACATAATAATATCGTCTACACTTAACCTTGAAATTGATGATGTGGAAAGGGTTTTAGCATTGTTTATCTTTTTTTTCTTTTTCCAATACAGTACAGTACCATTGAAAGATTTAACCTCACTAATTTTATCCTGATTGGGAAACTGCATTCAAATTTTATTCAAACGTGTCAATACTACAGTATATTTTTTTCCGGTTTTTTGACTACTGTACTACCTTCAGCTCTAATGATCATAACGTTTAATTCGTAAAAATTGGCTGCGTTTATGTCGATTTCGGGAATGTCTGTATAGTGATAGTATTATCAGAAGAATTTTGCTGGAGATTAAAAGTAATAAATTCCTTAATTAGCCTTCTTAACGTAGGAGAATCATCCATATTAATTGACTTCTTAGCTTTTTGCTAGAGGAACTATTGGTAGAGGTAGGTTCATTACTTAGATTCGTTAATATGCTTTTATGGTAGGATAGTAGTTGCATTAAATGATTCTTCGACACGATGCTCGGCTTCTTCATTTCAGTCGTGATTCATTGATTGACACTGAGACGAAATTCTCGATGAATTAATCGCAATGTACTTCTATTTATTGAACCGTTATTTAAAAATATATTTGTACTTACTGTTAATATCATGAAAATGAGCAGTAGTAACTCCATCACCCCCAAGGCTTTCGAACCTAATGCCTCAAAACAAACGATAATAACACCTCTGAGACCAATTATTTTGACCTATCATTTTTTGCATAAAGAACAAGATAAAAAAGCAAACCACACAATCTTTGTCTTGTAAGTGATAAAAAACTCTATCTATTTTTGCGGTATCGAAAAGTAATATGGTTATAGAAAAAGATATGCAATGACTAGCAAAACTGTTTTTAATAAAAATTAGATAAATACGGAGAAAATGACAAGATAATTTAAAACATGATAAGAAAAATGGTCATAAAGATTTTGCAAATCCCGGTCAACGGGATGAAATGTTGGATCAAGTGTATAATTGATCCATCATCCCTAAATAAATTTTTTTGATGGAACCAAGGTTACTTTGTGGCTATTTTTCTTATTTGCGTGGATAATGGTAAAAGAAGTTATCGGCGAATTCTATAGATGGGTCAGCATTCGGAATGGGACTCCGAATAGTGCAGTATTGTGTGAACAGTTTTGCTGGTTTGTATACGATTTAATCAATATTCGTTAACTTATATTAAATATAAATTTTAAGTATAGAAATAATAAATAAGTTTAAAAATGATTTTAAGTAACCTTGAACTATAGGTTTTCAAAAAAATAATTCTATAAATTTTATAATATTAAATTATTATTAATAGAGTTATATTTAAAAAATAAATTCTAAAAAATTGAGACATACTATATATAAATGTATTTATTATTAAGATTCATTTTTAATTAAAATTAAGAATATAAATAAATGTTTTTACCAATAAGAATTATATTTATTTTAAAGTAATATAATTAATCTATAAAATTTTATATATGTATTAATAATTAAAATTCATTTTTAATTTAGTATAACGTGTTTCTTTTTTATCAAAAAAATTTTTTAAAAGATTTAATTAAAAAATTAATTAATATTAAATAATTAATTAATATTAAATAATTAAGAATGAATGAATCATAGTGTTAAAAAAAAATTAAAAAATTAAAAATTAAATTTAAATACAATTTTCTTAAAAAATATCAAAAGTATACACAAATTTTAATATAATTTATACTGAAAAAATATTTTATAAATTATTATAAATTATTATAAATTACAAAAAAATACCTTTTATAACATCAAATTTATAACAACTTATTATGTACAGAGGCCTATCATATTATTGTGGATACTTTTATTTTTTAAATAATAAAAAATTTTATTAATAAATAAATTTTAAAAATTTAATGATATATTTATATAATATTAAGGTATAATCCATTTAAATTTCATGCAATTTTATTTATTTGTTCAAATTTTATAAAAAAAAAACTCCAATATAACTTTTTTCTATTAAACTGAAATTAGTTTTTTTTTTTTTTTTTTTTTTGCTTTTAATATTTTGTAGATTCTCCTTTAACTACAATACAGGTGGTAACCCAATTTGACATGCTCTTAATAAGATTATGACAATATTCGGGTGGTATCTCCCACTACGCTGCTGTTGTACAAAAACATCAAGATCGTCAAAATTATTTGATTTTGGCTTACAACATATGGATTTCTTAACTTTATTCCAAAAGTTCTCTATCAGGTTCAGATTTGAACTCTGTAGAGGCCAGTTCATTATCCTAATATTTTTATTTTTCATAAATTTCTTTGTAGATTTAGCAGTGTGTGGTCTCACGTTGTCCTGCTGAAATAGAAAGCGATCATTATTCTTTATTTCTAGAAATTTTTTATAGCAGATAAGACATTCTTATAAAGAATTTTGACATGTAAAGCACCAGTAGCAGAGAACTTTAACAGAATAAAGGTCTAACTCCATATCAGGAGAAGCAATCCCAGTACATACAACTAGGGTTACATTTAATGATGTAACTTAAACATTCAATATCCTATTCCTTGTATGGCTTATGCTAAACTCGACAAGAACATTCTTGAAAAAGATGAATTGTGGTTTTATCTGATTACAAAACACATTGAAAGAGCTGAATGGACCAGTTTTTATAGGCAAGAGACCAGTTAAGTCTTTTGATTGCATTTTCTAAAAAGACTAACGGCTTAGGATGAGCAATACAGGAATTTAAACCTTCTTTATGTAGTACATGATAAATAATGCATTTTGAGATGCTAATTTCTTCCTGAGCAATAAAAAGATTAGTAATCTGAGAAAGGTTTAAATGGCAATTTTCATTAATAACTAGATTCTTAAGTTTAGAATGGTCAGAAGGGGTAAGCAATTTTGAATGTCCCAGGTGTTTATTTTTTTTTCGTGATTCTATAGTACCTGTCTTGCGAAACTCTTTAATAATGTTTCCTATAACAGATTTTCCACAACCCACCAGAGCTGCAATAGTATGAAGTGAATCCTTTCTAAGGTATCCAAAAATAATGGCACCTCTTTGTTCAGC